CCCCCCCCCCCTGTCGCCCGCCCCCCCCCCCCCCCCCCCCCCCCCCCCCCCGGCGGGCGGGGTGTGCGGAAAGGGGCTCAGACCGGGCAGGGGACCACGCTCAGTTTTTAAGCAACTGTTTCGCCAGCGATGGAGGGGCGACCACTTTTTTTTTTTTTTTCCCTTTCTTTCTCGCAAAAGCCCCCTACGCCGCAGAGACAAATCTGTACGCAGCCCCGCCGTGGGATCCAAGGCGGGGGGGGGGGGGGGGGGGTGGGCCCAAAAACGGGCCCCGGCTGCTATTTAATTAGAGAGGAGCCTACGGGTGCGGGGTGCCGCTGCCGAGACCCTCCGTGCTGCCTTCCCACCCCAACCCGCTTCTCGCCCGGTGCTGCCCGGAGCCGGTGCCCGACCATTCAGCCCTCACCGCCCGCTGCAACGGATAACCCTGCGGGTCGGCTTTTGGCTTGAACGCACACCCGCCTGGGGAGGGGAGGAGTTAAAATCTTTTTCTTATTATTATGATTTTTTTTTTTCTTCTCGTAGATGAAAACAGCTTGTCCTATGTAAAGAATCGTGATAATTCGCTCGGGCAGGGTGGCAAGAACGGCCGTTCACGTCTTGCGAGCGCATCGCTACTTTACAAAGCGATGGCTGCAGGGCTCCCCAGCTCTGCTCCTCTGCAAGATTACGCGGTTATCAGCTCTGCTTTCAGGCTTTTTTCCTCCTCTGCTGCACACAATTATATTGCCGGATTCACCCTCTTTTTGCGCTCCCCGGTTTCGAAGCAAGCCCCGTTCCCAGCGCTATTTCTTCTAGGCAGAAGCCCAGGTACCCGAGATCCAATTTCACAACAAAAACATCTCAATGTCACCTACACCGAGAAGGTAGCTTATTGGAGCAAAATGCGAGGCATTTTAAACCCATTAGGCATCTCCCAGATGCAAATCCAATGGTGGAAAGGGAAAGGGTCTATTAAGACCCGAGGGCTGACAATTAGATTATAGTCCAATTGCCAGTGGATAATGTGCTAAAAGCTTTCCCACTTAGTGTAACTCCTCACTGAAAATTATTCACACTTTGCAGGCTGCTGCACTCCTGAACGGGAGACGGCTTTGTCCATGGAGAGAGCGAACGGCCGGGCATAGCCCCGTTCACACAGACACGGACAGACGTACACACGCAGAAGGATCATTAAACACATCCATCCTGATCCAAAACCATAGAGCAAATCTGCTTCTGGTGCAAGCTTCCGAGCGCACGCACAGG